CCCCGAGAGCTCTGACTTTCGCTCCTCTTCCCCACTCTTTCTCTTCACTCAAAGTCAGAGATCTGACATACACCAGGGGAAATTTAGGGCCCACATTGAAAAATTAATTTCCTCCAAGAATAATTGGTTACTCAGCAGGTTCTCAAATTTTTTGGCTAGGAGCCCTTTGGCCCATTTAAAAATTGGAGACTTGCTGGGCCACAAGTGGGCTCACGTCTCTGATCCTAGCATTCAGGGGGGCTGAGGTGGGCTTGGATCAACTCAAGGTTCAGGAGTTGGGGACCGGCCTGAGAAAGACGCGAGGAAGACCCTGTCTCTACAAAATAGAAAGAAATTAATTGGCCAACTAAAAAATTATATAGACAAAATTAGCGGGGGCATGGTGGCGCCTGTATGTAGTCTCAGTACTCAGGAGGCTGGGGAGGAGTGATTCTGGCTGAGCCAGGAGATTTGAGGTGCTGGTGAGCTTACTAGGCTGAACAGCCATGGCACTCTAGCCTGGGGCGACAGAGTAAGGACTCAGTCTCAAACAACACAAAAACAAGGACAACAACAGAACAAAAGAACAGCAAAAATTGAAGCACTCCAAGCTAAGTGTTTTTTCATGTGGATTACGGATATCCTCATTGATATATCAATCGATAATTCTACTGATATTTACCATACTAGAATAATTTGAAACTGATGAGATGTACTGTACAAAAGTATGGGGCGAGAAATTGACAGTAAGGGAGGTGTCCTCATTTTGTAACATAATTTCACTATTTAATTAAAGATTATCTGTGTCAAATAAAAAAGTTGTAGTTGGAAGACCTTGGCATTTTCTTTACATTCTTATAAATCGCCTAATGTCTGACTGTAAGGAGACAGCTGGATTTGTATGTCTACTTTTGCAGTTCACGTGTGTGTAACGATGGGTCACTTTGTAGACTGGAAAATTCTACTGTACTTACGAGAGAGCAAGAGTGAAAACATCAAATAACTATGAACTGCACAGATGTAACGCAAAGCTATATATATCCTATCATACTTCTACAATGAGAGAAACTATGTTTTTTCAACATCCAATTTTTTTAAGTTCCATCGAGAGCCATCAAGAAACCAGCCAATGTATTGGTATTCTGAGGTTCCTTTATAATTCGGTAATCCACTTCTCACGACGCAGGTTAAAACGCTTTTTTATTTTTTTGAGGACAAGTGCAGTCTCGCCTTTGTTGTCCCAGGCTAGAGTGAGTTGCAGTGGCGTCAGGCTAGTACAGCGACCTCAACAGTTTTCCCAGCACCATTTATTGAAAAGGGATTCTTTTCCCCAGCGTATGTTTTTGTCTGCTTTGTCAAAGATTAGATGGCTATATGAGGATGGTTCCAATTTACATTCTTGACAGCAGTGCATAAAATTCAAATTGCTGGCCGGGCATGATGGCTCACGCCTGTAATCTTAGAACTCTGGGAGGCCGAGGTGGGCGGATTGCTAGAGGTCAGGAGTTCAAAACCAGCCTGAGTGAGACCCCATCTCTACTAAAAATAGAAAGAAATTAATTGACCAACTAAAAATATATATACAAAAAATCACCCGGGCATGGTGGCGCATGCCTGCATTCCCAGCTACTCGGGAGGCTGAGGCAGTAGGATCGCTCAAGCCCAGGAGATTGAGGTTGCTGTGAGCTAGGCTCATGCCACAGCACTCACTCTAGCCTGGGCAACAAAGTGAGACTCTGTCTCAAAAAAAAAAATTCAAATTGCTCTGCATCCTCGTCAACACTTGGTATTGTCAGTAATATTATTTTAACCATTCTAATGGGTGTGCTTTAACTTATTTTTTATTTTTTTTTCTTTTGATAAGGTTGGTACCAAATGTCCTTTAATTTTGAAGATTAGAATACAATGCTGGCAAAATTAATTATTGAATGGATATAAGTATGGCTTTCAAGTGACTTGTACCCCTATATGGATATTAGAATTACAAAACTCTTCATCAAATTATCTTTCCAAAATATTAATAGAAAAATTTCCCCAAACCAAACATAGTAGCAACATTACATTTATAACAGGGAAAGAGATGCTATAGCATGGAGGTATTTTTAAAAGTATTATGGGCAGATCATTTGGTAGAAGAAAGAGTCAAGCACAAATAAAAGTGTAAAGGTAAAAGGTAAAAACCATACACAGGCCGGGCGCGGTGGCTCATGCCTGTAATCCTAGCACTCTGGGAGGCCGAGGCAGGCGGATTGCTCGAGGTCAGGAGTTCAAAACCCGCCTGAGCAACAGCGAGACCCCATCTCTACTATAAATAGAAAGAAATTCACTGGCCAAGTAATATATATAGAAAAAATTAGCCGGGCATGGTGGCGCATGCCTGTAGTCCCAGCTACTCGGGAGGCTGAGGCAGGAGGATGGAAATATGCTTTTTTTTTACTGATCTATCTAGTCCCATTTTTTAAATTATTTTCACTGTAAAATGAATAATGATATTATGCTTTTGAAACCCACCAAGAAAGCATTTGAAAATTTGATGTAGCATTTTCAGTCTCACATTATATATTCTTTCTTATTTCCCCAGAAAAGCTTGCTTATTGATTACACTGTTATAAGCCATAGTCTTTAGTTGTGTTAGACCTTTAGAAGAAAGGAATCAACCCAGTTCCATTTGTAAGATAGATCTGCCTGCTGGTATAGGCATATGAGATATAGGAATCTATTTTTAAAAAGTACCATAGAGTAGTAGCCACTCAGCATACAAATTACTCACATCTGAATCAGATTTAGCATAAAAAAAGCACAAAATCCTTTGTGTAGGTTTTTTGTTTTGTTTTTTTTTTTGAGACAGAGTCTTGCTTGTTGCCCCAGGCTAGAGTGAGTGCC